CAGGGTGATTTCAGTGTCTCTGTTATTTGTACATCTGGGAAGAGCCAGGTAACTAGCTTCAAGATGTGGAAAACCTTGAAAAACAAGTGCTTAATCCCTGGTTTTCCTCGGAGCGAACCCTTAACTTTCACAATATTTCAGATCAAATCGGCAAATGCTATTTGAAGTTTTTATATAATTTCTCAATTACATAATTTCTCAATTATATAATTTCTCATTTTCCATATATGGTCTCTTTATCAATTTACTCCCTGCCTGCTTCTTACTGAAATGTCACTTCATCGGAAAGAAATGTTTAAACTTACTAATACTTGGGTAAGTTATTTAGTCTTTCTGAGTTCCATTTTCTTATTTGTAAGAAGGGAATAATAGACTTCCTCCATTTTGTGTACCTCCTGGGAGTATAGAAAGAACAAATGAAATAATGGATAGAACACTTGTAAAACTATACAGCGCTATTTAATTATAAGGCGTTATTATTCAGCTTTATCTCACTGCTAGAAAAAGTGGCAGAAACTTAGGCGTTGACTTTTGTGTCCTCCGGCTTTAGTGTCGTGAAGTATCTGTACTTTATTTCATGCCTTCAGATCATGGTTATAATTATTAAGAGTAATAATTAGTAGTTATGAGATGTTTGAAATATTTCGAACAATAATTAGCTATATCTGAAAGTGGCAATAAATTAACATTAAAGTTTTAATATCAAATGACTTGTGACTTATGTGAAGATCTGTATGATGGTAGACAGGGTTACGGCCTCCCTCCAAAATGTTCTCTCTGTAATCCTTGGAATCTTATATGACAAAAGGGACTTGGCAGATGTGATTAAGGTTAAGGACCTTGAGGTGGAGAGCATTCCTCAGTTCTCAGAATGGGCCCAAACTAATTGCCTGAGTCTTTAAAAAATGGAAAAAGAGGGCAGTTGAAAGGAACGTCAGAGATGAGACAGCAGGAAGAGGACAGATTCGAAGCAGGAGAGAGGTTCAGCCTGCCGCCGCTGGCTTTGAGGTCGGAGGAAGGGAAGGCACAAGCTAGCAATTGCCGTTGGCCACTGGAAGCCAGAATTGGCCCCCAGGGTGTACCATCAAGGTCTCCGTCTCAGAATTGCAAGGAACTAAATTCTGTTAACAACCAAGATGACTACCAAATCCTCCCCTAGAGCAGGGGTCCCCAACCTCTGGGCTGCGGACCTGTGCTGGTCCGTGGCCTGTTGGGAACCAGGCCGCACAGCAGGTGGTGAGTGGTGGACAAGCGAAGCTTCATCTGTATCTGCAGCCACTCCCCAGGACCAGCATCACCACCTCAGCTCCGCCTCAGACCATCAGGCATTAGATTCTCATAGGAGCACCGGTCCCTGGTGCCAAAAACTATTGGGGACCACTGCCTTAGGGCATCCAGAAAGGGACATAGCCCTGTCAGCACCTCAGTTTTATCCCAGTGAAGCCTGTGTTGGACTTCTGACCTATCAAGCTATAAGATAATAAATGGGTGCTGTTTATGCTGCTAAATTTGTGTAATTTGTTTTGGGACCAGTAGAAAATTAATACATATATACACAATTAATAGTATTATTCATAACAAGAGGTAACTTGTCTAACAACCCTAAACATTCAGAGCAAAGCAGTAAAATACAAAACAACCAAATAGCCCCTGAGTAGTGTCTTTCGATAGCTCTATCAGGCAGAGTTCAGTGTAGGAAGTAAAGCACTCTAGATAGTTTAAGCAGGAAATTGAGTATTTACAAAATTGTTGAAAGGGATGTAATTGAAAAATTATAAATATTCAACTATAATTGAAAATTTTTAAATCGTTGGAAAGGCTGAAGTATGGGATAAAGAGACCAGTTTTGTGCTTCTTTTTAACCATGAGAAGGAAGGATGTGGACCTTACCCACTGTCATCCAGTAGCCAGACAGAAAATCGATTTTGTAAATGTATTTTTCTTATTTTTTAGGGATATTTCTTTTCTGTATGATGTTAGATATGTTAAAGGAGAGACTAAGGAGAGTGTCCTTTGTCCCCCACATTCAGACCATTCATTACAGCCACGGGATGGTGTCATTGTGCCTCGTAAGGTAAGTAAAGTATTTGACTAATAATTTCCTTGTCTCTCCAAGTTGTAGAATTCTTGTATTGGGGATGTTGCTAAGGTGAATTGTAAATTCCTATTGGATTTTAAAGAGCCAATGGATTTCTGAGTGGGATACCTGTAACTAATACTAACACCAAGGTTAATCTTTAATTCATGGTTTTGTTTTTAATGTGTGCTCTGCTAAATGTTTTTTACTACTTACTACGTCCCATATTACTAATATTATTATTTTCCTAATCAAAATCTCTTAATAGATAGTATCTTTTTGGGACAGGAATTAGGGTGTGTGCAATTCAATTTTCTTTCATCTACTAATGTTTTTATACTTATTCTTTCTTTTTAAGCCAAAGAAAATAACAGATACTTTGATTCCTGAAGAATTTCATATTGTGTCAAATACAGGAGTTTCAGGTTTGGAGTGCTATGATGAGTGAGTACTGAATATCTGACAAGTTGAACTGTTTCTTCCTTCCCACACATAGAGGAACTTGAGAACAGGTCATTCATGTACCTGGGCAATATCCACACTGAAATGAGGAAACGTGGCCTACTGTCCGGATGCAATTTAAGGAAATCAATTTAAGAACTAGTGAAAAAATCTTACTTGAGAGAGTTTGAGATTTTAGTGATGAAATTGTTCTGTCTTTTCTTACTGTTAAATTTTGAATTAAAAAAAAAATGGATCTTGTTCTGAATGCTCGATTATGCCTCTTGAGGAATGGGACCACAGAGATAAAGGAAAGTAGCCCTTGAAGCTGGATTCTCATAATGCCTGGTTGTCGGGCTCAGCTCCAGACCGTAGACTCTTCGGCTTCAGGTTTCCCTGATTCCTATTTATGGGATTGAAAATTGGATCTTGCTTTTAATTTCCAAAACAACACTTGAATGTTTCATGGTTTAAAAAACTAGTTATAATAAAACACCCAGAAGCTGTCACTCTTTTTACCTTATCCAGTATGTATGTTATATAGCATCTCCTTATGATGGTGCGTTTCAGAACAGTATTTGCTAAAGAGAACTACATTTTGGGGGTAACTTAATTTTTATATAATTTCAAAATTATAGAAAAGTTACAAAAATAGAACAAGGAACTCCCATGTACCCTCTATCCTGATTCACTAGGTGCTTCATTTGCTTTAATACACATGTGTGGGCATGCACGCGCACACACGCACGCGCACACACACACACACACACACACACACACACGAGCACTTAAACTATTGAAGAGTAAGTTGGAGAGACATCATGACCCTTTACCACCAACTACTTTATTGTATATTTCCTAGCAACCCATTCGTTTTAGTTCTTTTCGATGACTTTTTTAGCTTTATCATTTCTATATTTATTAGTTGGCATTTTACCATACAGACTCATGGATTTCTGTTTTTTTCCAGTGGATTATAATTCTTTACTATCATTATTTATTTTGATGTTCAAACATTTTCAGATCTGGGCCAATGCCAGCTCCTTTGAGCTGGCTCTTGTGTTCTTTAGGCATGTCCCCATCATTCTTTGAAGGTTCTCTTATTTTCTAGCTCAATAAGATTTCTAGGTTCATCTTGTATTTCCCAACTGCAGCTCTGGGATGAGCTCTGAGTCTCTTCTCCAAGGAGTACTGATTCCTTTTGATGGAGACTGGTACTTAGAAAGCAAGATCTGGGTGCTAGGTGTGCTCATTGCTCTTGGGCTATCACTGCGTCTAGTCCTTCTCTCACACTCTATTTTGAAACTTTATTTTGAGTCTTCATATCCCCTTGAGACTTTTTACTCATCTAAATTCGGAAAATGGAACTTATTAACCAACTGTGTTCCAGTAGCGGGCAGAACCAAAGGAAATGCTTATTAAGAAAAAAGATATAAAAATAACAATGAATTTAAAGATTACCTTGTGGTTCTCATCGTGATACTCATTTAGGTGTAGACAAGCAAGTCCAGAGGACAGATATGGCTAGGAGTCAGGAAAACTGTGTTCTAGTTTCATCTCTACTTCTTGCTAATTTTATAACCTGTTTAGTCACTTAACTTTGTTGACTTCAGTGTTCTTAGAACATCCTTCCATCTTTGAAAAGGCTTTTTAAAAAATGAATTAAGGAAATTTTCATATTGTGATATATTTAGGAATATTGTTTAGGAATATTATTTAGGAATATATTTAGGAATATTAAATCTCCTTTACTAAAAAATGTTCCAGATATAAGTAGCTGGATGTCTGTAGATATCTAAGACTATTTAAGATCTTGTGTGCAAAATGGTGGAACTTTTGGTTGCCTTCAAGCTTCTCAATTCCATGAGGTCTTAATTTTATCATGTTGTAATATATGATAAACAGGCCAGATAATGTTCTTACAATAACATTTACCTGTCTTATTTATTGCAGCAAATATACTACTCTCCTCACAGATAGTGAAAATAGGCTATTGGTCTTCCCATCCATGTAAGTACAGTTTATTTTTTAAAGTGTTTTTTAGAAAGAATATACATATATATTCTTTTTGTTGGTACTTTACTACACACAGACACACATTAAAATGACAGCAGAAACCCAAGACAGTAATTGCCTACAAGTCTGTCATCTAATCAGTGGTTTTTTTTTGTCCAATTGCATATCATCTTAACAATCATTCAGTTTTTACATATTTATAATATTTAAGCATTTAACATGCTTTTTTTTTACAGTTTTAATTCTTTATATTGTTTTTAAATTTTATTTTATTGTGGTTAAGAACACAATGTGAGATCTGCCCTCTTAACAAATTTTTAAGTGTGCAGTACACTTTAACTGTAGGTACAGTGTTGTATAGCAGATCTGTAGAACTTATGCACCTTGCATACCTGAAACTTTTTGCCTGTTGATTAGCAATTTCCCATTTCTGTCTCCTGCCAGCCCCTGGAAACCACTATTCCACTCTATGATTCTATGCGTTTGACTATTTTAGGTACCTCATGTAAGTGGAATCATTCAGTATTTGTCCTTCTGAAACCGGCTTATTTTACTTAGCTTGATATCCTCCAGGTTCATCTGTGTTGTTGCAAATTGTGGAATTTCCTTCTTTTTTAAGGCTGAATAATATTCCAGGGTCTGTATATACCACATTTTCTTTATCCAATCATCCATCGATGGACTTCTATATTATTTCCACATATTGTGACTAGTGCTGCAATGAAAATGGGCTTGCTAATATCTCTTCGAGATCCTGATTTCAGTTCTTTTGGATAAATACTCAGAAGTGGGATTGCTGGATCATATATAAAATACTTTTATATTCTACATTTAACCATTAATATTTCTCCATGTCGCTACGGTATTTTTTTTTTCTTGGACCCTTTTCCTCTCTTACATTGTGAAGTAACCAGTATTAACAGCTTGGTGTTTATCGCTCTATAATTTTCTGTGTTCTTACAATCATACACAAGGGGTATATAGAATTTGGGGAGGAAGGAGCATTATTTTCTTTTATGAAAGAGAGAATTATACTATTTTTATTTTTTTAAAGACTATATTACTGATATTACACTGGATCAGTACTTACAGGTCTAATGCTTTAAGATACCATTAATATTCCATGGTATATACATCTTCTTTATACATATGATATTCTTTTTTGTGATTTGAGAATGACCTATTATGACACTAATTACATAATTCTGCCTTAATCTTTTAGGAAACCTAACAAAAGAATAGAAGTGGTCCAGCTGAATAATGTGATGGATACTATGCTAGAGAGGGCTGGTGTGGAAAATCAGGAATATACAGGGCCAACCAAGGTAATTGCGAAGCTCACTGTAACCTAGTGGTTAAAAGCGTGTACTCTGGATTGGCATCCTGGCCCTGCTATTTATTAGCTGGTGACCCTAGGCAAGTCATTTGTGCCTCAATTTCCTCATCTGTAAATTAGAGATGATAATAGTATTTACCTCATAAGGCTGTAGTGGAGATTAAGTGTCATAATGAATATAAAGGGCCGAGAACAGTGCTTGGCATGTGGCAAACACTGTATATAATTCATTGTTAGTACCATTGACTCTTGAGCAACACAGGTTTGAACTATGCAGTCCACTTATATGTGGATTGTTTTCAGTAAATTGTAAATATTTTTTCTGATAATTTTCTTAATAAAATTTTCTCTAGGTTTATTGTAAGAATACAGTACATAATACATATAACATACAAAATATGTGTTAATTGACTGTTTATGTTATTGGTAAGGCTTCTGGTCAACAATAAGCTGTTAGTAGTTAAGTTTTTGGGAAGTCAGAAGTTATACATGGATCTTTGACTGCATGGGGGCTTGGTGCTCCTACCCTCATGTTGTTCGGGAGTCATCTCTATGATCATTACTGTATTTCATTGACTGCAATGCACCATTGACCTTTACAAGACCTTTACTATTTTACATACCAATAAAAGACACTGCCAATTAAATCATACTTTCTCACTACTTATAAGTTTAATTTTGTGCTTAATGAAAGGGCCTTTTCAATCTTACGTAGATAAAGATTTCTTTCTGTATGAAGGCTATTTCTTTTTTGTTTTGTAAATTTTTATTTTTATAGAATTTGGAACTCATAGGTAGGTTCAACATAAGGCATTCCTATGTAACCTTTACCCAGATTCGCCAGTTATTTACATCCTGCCCTGTCTGCTTCATCATTCTCTCTTCCTCTCCACCTATCTCTATGTGTATAGTTTTTTCTGAGCTGTTTTAGAGTAAGCTGGCAAAATCATGTTTCTTTACCACCAAACATTTCAGGATATACTTCCTGTGGATGAGGACTTTCTCTTACCTATCTACAATTCAGTTATCAAAATCAGGAAATTTAATATTGATATGACAGTCCATATTCAAATTTCATATTTACCAGTCGTCCTTATAATGGCTTTTATAGCTATTTCCCCCTCTATTTCAAGATCTCAGGGTCACACAGTGCTTTTGTCATGTTCCTTTAGACAACTGTCAACTAAAAGAGTTCTTCGGGTTTTTTTGACCTTGATATTTGGAATAACACAGCCCAGTTATTCTGTAGAATGTTCCTCAATTTTGGTTCGTCTGATGTATACTCATGATTAGGTTCAGGTTTTATATTTTGGGCAGATATAACAGAAGCGATATTGTGACCTCAATGCATCATATGAAGAGGGATAATGATCAGACACAGATTTTTAAAAATATCATTTTTGTATACATAACTTTACAAAGGAAAATGTAAGTGAAATAAATAAGGTGTATCTAAAACTTATCTACATTTAGAATGCTTAACTTCTAAAATGGTTTTTACTGACAAGACTGTAACACATGCTAATTGACTTACTTCTGCTAGATGCACAAATTACTACATATATTGAAGAAGGAACAGACCATTTACAATACTGTATTTCATGAACTTATTCGACAAGTCAGTGTGGACTGTGCAGATAGAGGAGAACTACTGTCCAAAATCAGGTTCGAGCTCTTACTGGAGAATTCCAGTTTCCTTCTGAATTTTATACTAGAATTATGTTTATATCTGCTTTTGAGAAAAATCACAAAAGTACACTTCTCTATTGATAATAAGGAGCCTAATTGTATTTCTATTGTATTTTCGGGAATAAACATATAATAGTTGAGAACCTCTTTAAGGTGATTTCTGTTGGGATGTTTGGCACCACATTCTTTTATGCTTGGGAGTGAAGTGTTATGCGAAATAGTGGAAAAAAGGATAGATTCTGCAGACAGACTGATCCGGTTTCAGATTATCATCTGTGTGTGACCTTGGTAAAAGTCTGAGCCTTAGTTTTCTCATCTGTGAGTGAAGATAATTTTCATTGTTCATTAATCATCAGTAATATTTATCGAATGTCTGCTTTGTGTCAGGCATTAACGTGCTTCCTAGGTTTGTGGCGAGATATAAATGAGAGCATAGAATTAGGTGCTCAGTACATATAATTATTATAGATGATGGTGATAAATATTATTACTATAATTCTTCTTATGCCACTGATACTTTCCAAAAGCTGAAAGGAATAGTAGAATTAGAATACTGGGTTCAAGTTACATATCTGCAGCTTACTTGCCATAGAACCACAGGCAAGTAATATCTCCGAATATCTGTTTCTCCTGAATGAGCATTAATAATATAAATTTTCCCTTTTTGTCCACTGTCTGATTTATGGAAGCTGAGCCCCCGCATGTGACGGTGCTGAGAAACCAGGAGCAAAGCCATTAATAAAAGACCGATCAAGATTAGATACTAAGCAGTAAATTGTTGGAACACCACCAGGGGCTGGAGAATGCCAAATTAGAATGAGGATATAGACAGCTGAAGTCTGAGTTGTCAATCTCAGAACAAAGCCGGGAGAGATGGATGAGGAATCATGGCAGAGGAACTAGATGACTAACAGTGTATCCAAACCTTCTCCTTATGAAGAGTAAGTGTAGGCGGGACTCTGCCAGCTGATTTCAGAAGGTAGCTTCTCAGAGCCAAAATAAAGTGGGGTCCTATTCCAGGAAATCTAGGCAGAAAGAGACAGGCTGGCAAGTCAAACCCAAAATCCTTTAAGAAAAATTGAGTCAGACACCAGGGAGATAAAAAAATGCTAACTGGGGAGTTCCAGAGATAGAATCAGAGTAAGGCTTCACAGCCCAGAATTTAGAACAGGGTAAAGTTGGAGTGAGGACTACAAAGTCGGTGAGAATGGGCACGAGGTTTCAGGATGGTTGCACGGACCTTTATGGTGGATAGTGGAATGGTGAAACACTCCGTGGGTGCAGAATAATCGAGTGGCCAGCATTTTGTTTTGGTAGGAGCTCTTTTACAAGTCTAGGGCCCACCTTCAATGTGGCAGTCTTCTGTTGTCCTGAGCCTGGAGTCTTACAGAGTCCTTCCGGCTTCACAAGATTGTTATAAGGATTCAGTAGAAATCTCCAGGAAACGGTAATGCTGTGCGTGCCCTGGAAATGCTTGATATCAGCCTCAAACCTCCTCTCTCTGTTTGCGTGTTACTGTAGCTGTGTGCTCTGTCTTATTGAGTGGTTTCTGATAAGTTAATGTGACCAGGGAGATATCAGGCACCTGCTTCTCAGGCACCTGCTTCTCAGGCCTGTTGCTATAGAAGGAGGATTTCATATGAAACAGCATTTCATAACAACTTTTTTTTATAGGGGGAAGAGGGTATGAGCTGAACAGGACCTTCACATTACACAGAAATGGGACTGCTGCTGTACATCTTTTTGGTTGACACTATAAATCTGTGGTTATTTTAATTTTTTTCCACTATTTTATTATGGCAATTTCCAAATACCCATAAAAATTGAATGAACCCCCATCCTGGATTCTGCCATTAACGTTTTACTCTATTTGCTTTACCACTTGTCCACCCATCTAGCCATCCTTCGGTTCATCCACCAATTTCTTCATAGTAAATTGCAGACATTAGTGTGTTTCTCTCCAAATATTTCAGCATGTGTATCGTTAACCAGCGTTCATTATTTATTTGCCTTTTTTAAATTAATTAATTTTTTATGGTGACACTGGTTAATGAAATCCAATAAGTTTCATCTGTATCATTTCTTTTTTGACTAAAATGTTTCACATACCAAAATGCATAGATCTTGTGTGCAGTTGTTGACTTTTGACAAATACATACACTTATATCACCCAAACCCTTATGAAGGATGGCGTATTACCATCATCCCACGAAGTTCCCTAATGCTCCGTCTCCGTAAATGCTCACCTCCATTTCTCCAGAAGTTCTGACTTCTTGCCATCTTAGATGAGTTTCGCCTTTTTAGGAACTTCATATAAATGGGATCACGTGGAATCTACTCTTTTAGGTAAGGCTTCTTTCACATAGCATGTGTTTGAGATTCATCTCTGTTGTTGCATGTATTGGTGTTTTGTTCCTTTTTATTCTGAGTATGGTATGGATGGAACAACATCTGTTCCTTTATTGATGGACACTGGGTTGGTTCCAGTTTTAGGCTATTAAAAAACCTACCATGAACATACTTGTGTGAATCTTTTTATAAAAATGTATTTTAATTTTTTGAGTAAGTATGTAGGAGTGAGAATGCTGGTTCATAAGGTAGGTTTAATTTTATTTTTATAAGAAATGGTCATACCTTTTCCCAAAGTGGTTGTACTGTTACATACTCCCACTAACAATGTATGAGTGTTCTGGTTGCTCTATATTTTTGCCAAAATTTGGTTTTGTAAGTCTTTTTATTTTTGACCATTCTGGTGGGTATGTACTAGAATGTCATTATGGTTTTAATTTGCATTTCCCTGCCAGCTTATGATGTTGAGCACTTTTTCATGAGCTTATTGACCACATATTCTTTTTATGAAATGTCTGTTCAAATCTTCTGCCTATTTTTAAATTGTGTTGTTTGTCTTTTTATTATTGAGTTGTAGAACTTCTTTATGTATCCTAGAAACCAGTCTTTTGTCCTATATATATAATTTTATATTTTATTTACATATATTTTAATGTATTTAAATATATATGTATATATATACACACATATATATACATATTTATGCATTTAAATATATATGTATATATGTATATGTTTATACATATATACATATATATTTACACACACACACACATACACACTTAATATTTTCTCCTGGTTTGTTACTTGCCTATTCATTTTTTATAAAGTGGTTACCTGACTTTCTTTAAAAAAAATTTTTTTTAGAATAGTTTTAGATTTACCAAACAGTTGAGCAGATAACACAGAAAGCTTCCATATACTCCTTTCTCCTCTGTATATGGTTTCCCTCATTGTTAACGTTTTGTATTAACGTACATTTGTTATAATTAATGAACCAATATTGAAATACTATTATTAACTAAAGTTTGTAGTTTACATAAAGGTTTATTCTTTGTATTCTACAGTTTTATGGGTTTTGACAAATGTGTATTTTTGACCATAAAAAGGATTAAAGTGCTGATACATGATATAACATGGATGAACCTCGTAAACATTAGGCTAAGTGAAAGAAGATAGTCACAAAAGGATACATGTTCTGTGATTCCATTTGTATGAAATGTCCAGAAGAGGCAAATCAAGACAGAAAGTAGAGAAGTAGTTGCCAGGGACTTGGAGAAAGAGGAATGGAGAAGGACTGCTAACGGGTACCATGAAGGGTTTTTGGGGGACGATGAAAATACTCTAGGATTAGATAGTGCTCATTGTTGCACAACTTTATGAACTTACTAAACGGTATTATACACTTTAAAAGGGTGAATTTTACGGCACATAAATTATATCTCAATCAAAAAATTATGAAGTATTTGCAGACAGTCATTTCATCCCGAGTCCTCATTTACACCGCACATATTCCTTTGTGCATTGATTCATGTAATAAAAAATCTAAACACCTTATTTATGTAAGTATAATCTACCTTCCTGTAACTTCTGCCCTCTCATCCTAATTTTGTACTCTGGAAATACGCAGAATAAGTGCATTGTTTCTTTCACCATATAGCTCTTTAAGTATTTGAAAACAACCATTTTTGTCTTCCCTCTTATGCATTCTCTAATCCAGGCTAAACATCCCCAGTTTTATCACATTTTCTTAGTGAAGTATACTACACATGGAAAACATACCAATTAGTCATTGTTGATTTCAAAATGGTATTATGCAATATTGCCACCATTACAGTATTATACAGAATAGTTTCATGGACCTAAAAACCTCCTATGCCATCACCGTCATCCCTCCTCCCATTCACTCATCCCTCCTCCATTCCCATTCCCCTGAACCATTGGCAACCACTGATTTTTTTACTGTCTCAATGGGAATGTCATACAGTTGAGGTCATACAATATGTAGTCTTTTCAAACTGGTTTCTTTACTTTCACCTGAATTTTAATTGCTGAAACATTTCCTGACCATTATTTTGTGGAATTCCTTAAGTTCTGGACACCATATCATTGTTTTTGAGAGGCTTGATTATGATGTACTTTAGTGTAGTGTCCATCCTGTTTTTGAGCTTTTTGGATCTGTGAGCTTATATTTTTCATAAAATATGGAAGTTTTTAGGCTTCTTGTTCTTCAAGTATATTTTCTGCTCTCTCCCCTTTTTGGGAGACTCCATTTATACATATATCAGGCCACTAATATTGAAGTCACACAGGTCACTGATGCTTTGAACATTTTTTCTTGTGTTTATTTCTTTTTCTGTTCATTTTGGATAGTTTCTATTACTGTATCTTCAAGTTCACTAACCTTTTCTTCTGAAATATCTAATCTGATTTTAATTCCATCCAATGATATTTTCATCTCAGATACTGTAGTTTTCATCTCTGAAAGCTCAATTTAAGTCTTTTAAACAATACCTTCCATGTCTCTACTGAACTTTTTAAACATATAGACTATAGTTATGAAAACTTGTAAAGTCCTTGTCTGTTAATCCTAATGTCAGTTCTGGGTCCGTTTCGGTTGATTGATTTTTCTTCTCATATGTGTGTTTTCCTTCTTGGTAATTTTCACTGGATGGCAGACTTTGTAAATTTTAGCTTATTGAATGCTGTATATTTTTGTAGTCCTAAAAATATTCTTGAGCTTTGTTCTGGGACACAATTAAGTTACTTGAAAACAATTTGATCCTTTTGAGCCTTTAAGTGGGACCAGAACAGGGCTCAGTTTAAGGCTAATTATTTCTGAATACTACTGAGGCAAGACTTTTCTTTGTAGTATGTCCAATGCTTCATGAATCATAGTACAGTTTTTACAATGTGGCTAGTTGGAATGGGCCCTATAATTTCAGGCCATGTGTGAATGCTGGGGACTCTTTCTGATCCTTTATATGGTTCTTTCCTTGGTCTCAGGTAGTTTCTGCACATTTATGCCCTGGTCATTACTTAGCTGACTTCTTGAGGGGAACCCTCTGCAGACTTCCAAAGGTCACTTCCTTTCATTGCTTGATATCTGGCATCTTGAAAATTGTTTCACATAGTATGTCCTTTTGTTCTTGTTATTGTTGTTATTTCAGGCAGAATAGTAAGTTTAGTTCTCCTGGATCTCTTTTTAGAATTCCCATACCTATACCTATACCACAATCCTATGTATAGATTAATGTCCTTCATAAATTTTAGAAAATTATCAGTGATGATCTCTTCAGTGAATGTCTGTCCTCCATTCTCTCTGTTTTCTCTTTTTTGGAACTCTGGTTAGAGTTACATTAGCTATTCTCTTCTGTGCTTTTTGTCTCTTAATCTCTTTTTCATAATTTCTGTTTCCTTGTCTCTGTGCAGCATTCTGTGTAATGTTTTTCCAGGACATCAATACCCTCTCTAGCGTTATCAGTTCTGCTATAACCCATCTGTTGAGTTTTACAATTTGATAATTATATTTTTCCTCTAAGAGTTCTTACTGGTTTGTTTCCATAGCTGTGTTATCATATTTAATAAGTTTTTTGTTGCTTTTCACTTTTAAAATCCATCTTCATTTCTCAAATATTTCATGCATAGTTTTATATTCTAAATCTGATAATTCTAGTATATGAAGACCATGAGTATCTAAATCTACCGTTGTTTCTTCTGAGTCTCATTTATGATGGTTTATTCACATAAATATTTTGCGATTTTTGCTTGTGTGGCTAATATTTGACTAATCTTAATCATTAAATCCTCAGGATATAAATCATGGATGCTTCCTGAAGAGAGGATTTGCATTTTCTCCCTTCTGAAATCCCGGCTCGATGCAATAGTTCCTACACTCAGGTCTCTTACTTTAAAGATGGTCCAAGATGTAAAACTGAAAGCAACAAACGAACAAGACAAACAAATAAACAAAAACTCGTAGATAGAGATGACAGTGGTTTCCAGAGGGAAAGGGGAAAAGGGGAGGTAGAAGAAGGTAAAGGGGGTCAAATATATGGTGATGGAAGTTGATTTGACTTTGGATGGTGAACACACAATGCAATATACAGATAATGTATGATAAAATTATATACTTGAACCCTAAATAATTTTATTAACCAATGTCATCCTAATTTAATTTTAAAAAGCAGGAAAGGGGTAAGAAAAAAAAATAAATGAAGCTGGCCCAAGACTTAGTCTGTGAGACTCAATGTTGGTATTGAGATAATCCTGACCTTGGGTTTGTCTAATGAATACTGCTTACTACCTCTTACTCCATTCTTAGCTTATTGTATTTTATTTGTTGTTTTTGTTTTTCATCCCTAGCTACTTCTGTTTCTTCCTATGAGCCCATTAATGCTAAGTATGCTCTATCATGGATATAATTGTACTGTGATGGGAAAGCCCTCCAGAACATTTTGTTCCTGTATTGCCATGAGGGGAGGTCCTAAAGAAGGTGTTTTTAAGACTGATATTTCCTGATATATGAGCTGCATATTGAGCTGATAAATCCTCTTTCACTTTAAGTGTTTAAATAGGGATTGAATAATTCTGTCTGTGGTTGAGAGATTAAGCTAAACGACCATTCCAGCTCAAAGATACTATAATTCTGGGCTCTCAGGGATAGGATATAATACTTAGATCATTTTTAATATACAAGAAGACTATAATTTAATATACATGGTGACTGTAATTTATCACCTATGATCCTTTCCAAATTGTTTGGTTTTATTCAGAAGCAAAATAAATGACTTCTTTATATTTAAGGTCTGGATTTTATCTATCTATCTGTCTGTCTGTCTGTCTGTCTGTCTATCTATCTATCTATCTATGCATGCTCTGTCTTCCTAGGTGGTCTCTCATCCAAGTACTAACGGGGCCCGACCCTGCTTAGCTTCCGAGATCAGACGGGATCGGGCGTGTTCAGGGTGGCATGGCCGTTGACTTGTATTTATTTTTAAACAGGTGTCTTTTTACATTTTGGTCAATTTAGGAAAAGTAGTTTTATTCATGAATTCAACTATTTATAAAAATCCCACCGTATTCAAGGCACTCTTTTAGATGTTACAAATATGTAAATGTATTAGATATGGTTCCTATTCGCGTAGATTTTATAATTTAGAAGAAGAAAAATGTCCTTATTTTGTTTTACAGCTCAGACATTATATTCCAAATAATTACGACTTGTTAAAATTCTACACAATTCATTCACTTGTATAAGCAAGGCAAGAATTCATACAGTCTAGATCCCTTTTATTCCCTATGTTGTTCTTCCCACATATCTTTGTGAGTGTCTCTTCACTATTTCTTTCTCTAACGTTACTTTTTCTCACATATTTTTGCTCTTTTTTTCTTTTCTTCTGCATGATGTCTTATTTTTCCTCTTTTTCATGCAGAGAGCGGTATGTTCAAATGCTCGACCAGATCGCCCGGCAAATGATTGATTTCTACAAAGATTTGGTAACCCAGCGAGTGATGGACCAGCGCATTTTAGAAGAACTGTACAATTTTAAGAATGTTATAGAGGAACTGACCAGGTAAAAACTGTGATTATCTTAAATACAAACATCAAAGCCATATCTCTCAAGAACCTAAAAAATCTTCAGAGACAGTAGAATGGTTAAAGGTGGGGGGTCTCTTTTGTTCTCTTTTCGCATTTAGCAAGAGAACAGAAAGGACTAAATATAGTTGTAGATGTAGGTATTGAGAGTTAAACAAGTTAATGCAGAACTAGGGCTCTGTGTATTCAATAGAGAAAACACTCTTGTTCTTCCTTCTAAGGACTGTATCTTAATCAGGTTTACAGAACAGGGCCATGATTGTGGATGTTAAAGGTCAAATGCCAAAGAGAATAAGCATTATATAGCAGTCAAGGTTAGTAGCAACCTTGTAGCAAGTTGATTAGTGGCAAGAATGAAGAGGATAGGATAGGCATGTCAGAGGGTAGGACAGAGTAGTTTGGAGACCTTTCCTGTCAGCATTTACCTTCACTCCATTCTAGAGGATCTTTTTGCCTTTTCTAGCCAGCCTGATTCCATCCAAATGTACATAGATTTACTGATTTGGTACGTAAGGTAGAAGAACTAGGAAGAGCTGTACGCAGGATAACTGAGAATATTCCTGAGTATAAATATGATTTCCTGGGTAGAAAGTTTTTGGAAATCTTCAACTATAACTATAAAATTTCTTTGCTTTATTTTAGGGAGCTGTGTTTGGTTCGGGCACATGATAATAAATTAACAAAGGAAGCAGAGAAAGCCCACAAAGATTTGGCACAAGCTCTTTTAGATGCCGAAAAGAATGCCAAGTGAGTTACCAAATGTTAGCTCTTATGTCATACTTGCTTCACACTTTATTTCAAAATTTTATAGAAACATTTGAAGTTTTTTTTTATTACAACAGTGTAAAGTTTATTATATATATTAACTCTTCTGAGCACTGTTGTAACATACATCTTACAAATGTCTTCTCACGTGAGAGTTTTTCAGAGCTGCATAGCCTTGTCTCGCTAAATGTTGCCAAATATTCCACAAAGTGGTTATTCCAGTATATTCTCTCATCAGTGTATGGAGTTCTCTTTTGCCCATATCTTTTATCATTTGGGTGAGTACGAAAAGGTATCTGTTTTTTGCTTGCTTTTTCCTAATTAGTAGTGTGAGTCTAATTCATTTTTAGATTTCAGTGAATCTACTTTGGTCCAAATTTTTATTCTATTTCAGGGGTTAGCAAACTTTTTCTGTAAAGGGTCAGATGGTGAAATATGGTTTCTGACGCAACTACTCAATCAACTCTGCCTTTGTGACATGTGCCATTGTAGTACAGAAGCAGCCAAGGACAGTTCTAGAATATGTCTGTGTTCCAATAAAACTTTGATTTTGTAACATTTTCATGTATAAGTGGAGTATTATTTTCTACTGTTTTTTTAACTATTAAAATATAAAAAGTAAAATTAAATAAGTAAAAAATTTTAAAAATTAAATTCTTAGCTCATGTACTATATAAGAAACAAGTTGTAGGCCTATATACCCACAGGATGTAGTTTGTTGACCTCTATTTTATTTCATTTTCTGTTAGAATTTTAATTACTAGAAGCTCTTGAGAATATGTCAAAAGATATATCTGATGGCATTTTAAATTTTTTTATTTAGTCAATTAAAAATGATATTATTATATTATCATAGAAGCAGTACATGTACCTTATAAGAAAATTAGAAAATACAACCAAGCAAGAATGAATAAAAAATATCACAGTCTCGTCACCCATAGATTACTGCTATAAACATCTTAGTGTATATTCTTGTGGGTCTTTTTTTCTGTGTACATTTAAACACATGCATTTTTTCAAACCACAATAGTATTGGATATACTATTACATAGCCTGTTTGTTTTTAGTCAACAGTCTCTACCTATTTCAATAAATTTTTACTTCATAAATTATCCAGGTCATATTCAGATTTTCCTAATTCTTTCCAAAATGTATTTTACATTTAGTTGTCCAAACCAATATCCAATCTGAACCACACACTGCATCTTTTTTTGTGTCCCTTTTAATTCATCATAGTCCTCTGCTTTTCTTTTTTAACTTGTTGAAGGGTGACTATATTTTTTAAATGTCGAGAAAAATACAAATATATAAAAAATCTAAATAAAAAAATAGATTCTTACTTTTATTCTATTTTATTTCTTACTAGAATGAGAGGGAGGTACCTTGATCATTTTTTGCCTACTGAATGTACTATTGTTTTCTATAGCTGATTGACCCTTCTTGTCTTAGTAGATAACTGTTCTACATGTCATTTCTATTCTTATACCTCTAATACTATCTCTTCGTCCTCCTTCTGAGTCGATGACCTTGCCTTCTAAAAAGTAGAAGCAAACAGAACTCAAGTTCTCCTTCCTACATCTACCTACCCACCTGCATATGTGCTCATTATTGTCTTCCCTTCTCTTACTGTGGATGAACTGTCTTCCTCCTTTCTAAGGCCAGTCTATTTGTGTAGTATTATAACCCCTCTTACCTACTTGGGATATTTTCAGTAAATATTCTCTGTTTTTCTTATATCATTAATTTTTTCCCCTCTCCTCGCAATTAATTCCATCACTATACAAATAGCTATACTTACTCCCATCATAAAAACAAGCAGAAAACCTCCCAAGTCTCTTAGGCCACATAGCCCCTTCTAGCTTTGGCCCCATTTCTCTCCTCCCTTTACAGTAAACTTCAAAACTTTGTCAAACTCATTATCTCCATTTCCTGTCTTCTCATTATCACTGGAACCCACTCCAATTAGGCTTTCGGCCCCATCGGTCCACCAAAATGTCCTTGTTAGAGTCACCAGTAACTTCCATATTGCTAAATCCAAAGGTTGATTCTCAATTCTCATTTAACGTGACTTAGCAGCAGCACTTGCTTTTACTCGAAATGATGTCTTTCCGTATATTATACTCGCCTAGTTTCCCTTCTGCTTTACTGCCAATTCCTTCTTACTCGTATCCCTTGCAAGTTCCACTTCACCAGTTTCTAAATGCTGGAGTGCTCATTCCTTGGATCTTTGCTCTGTATATACTCCTTAAATGAACCCATTTGGTTTCCTGGCTTTAAATGCCGTCATCTATAATCTCAACTAACAGATTTGTATCTCCAGCTTTACCTCCTCCACAAACTTGTGTCCTCAGCTTCAAATTCCTCCCTGAATTCCAGACTTAGGTATTCAGCAATCTTAACATTTCTGC